ATCTAGTATAAATTTTATTTATCTAAATATTACTTTCAGATAATTGAGTTGTATGATCATATAAAAATCAGAAGACATTCTTCAGTTAGTTCCAGATCTTTTAGAAAGAATGCAAGCTCTGACTGAATTGCACAAAGAAGGTTAAATAATTACAAATGCCAACCAAATAAAATTTGATTGAACAACTGATTTGCTAATGTAAATTTTCCTTTCAGCAAGTAACTTTACGAAGTCCCTAGCAGAACTAGAAACACTACAAAAACTATTACAACAGGTGTGCAAAACAACAAAGCACTTCTACAAGGTGTTCAAGAAGTTTTTGCTTCGTCCTTACAAAATATAATACAGAAATTGCAAAGTTGGATGAACGATTGAACAAGATTTCAAAAATAATTTTATAATAATCTGCCTGTTTTTAATACTATTACTATTTATTACTAAGACAATATTATTTTGCTTCACTTATTTATAAAACTTTGTTGTATGCATTATTGTGCTTCATTATATCTAATTCGCTTTAATAATTTTATAATTAAATTTGTTAAGTAGTTTTGTTTATTACCTCTAGTGTATGAGTGGAGTTACTTACAAGTGACATTATGTTGAGGATTGATGAGAACAAAAAGCACAAAAACACAAAAATTTTATAAACTGTTAGCTTCACAAGATCTAGCATAATACTAATTTTTTCAGTACTACTTTACATTAAAGTAGAAAGATATTTTCAAGTAATTCTAGAGGGCAATACTAAACATTTCACTTCTTTAAAAATGAGAGATTGGCAACAAATTCAAATTTGAAAAATAGTTATTCAGTATGCATTCAGGTTTGTATTTCATGTATACAAAACTGTTGTTCTCCATTATTATTTGATAATAGTCTATCAATATATTTCATTCTTACATGAGCTGTTTATTCATAGCTTTAGAGAAGGTTTCGGTTTAGAGAAGATAAACATAATTGATTTTAAAATCTCTTTACAATACATATGGCTAATTTTTCTTTCATTTTTTGTCTACTTCTTGACTTCACTTACTTCTATTTTGAATGTAATAATTTCCATAATCTGATAGCTTTCTGTGGTACACAAAAACAAGAAGTAGGTTGTTCCATAGAAAAATAAACAAGTTCATTAAAAATTAACAAATATATCACAGTACGCTAAATCCAATTCATTTGACTCCCTTTCTAGAGGTTCACATTCAGAAGCAGAGCACCTAAGTTGGGAAATAAAAATTAATAAACAATTTCAAACTTCATAATCCTTTGCAAAATTAATTCATCTGTATTTCCACTTCTAATTCTAAGTGATTTTTCTGGAATCAACTATAAGATTATTGAAGTGTTTTATTCAAATTTTGAAAAAGTGATTGAAGATAATCAGTCGTTAAGCATTAAAGAATCATTTCTATTTCCATGGACAATAGTAAGCTATGTGCTATAGTATCATATGAAGTGCATTTTGTAATAGTTTAATTGAATTACTGTAATTCTGTAAGTTAATTTATTTTTACTCCAGTAAGATAAAGTTTGGACACACATTTTAATTAGCATGTACATTATTATGTCCATTAATGTGTTCAAAAACATGAGCAGGCAAATCGTTTCAAGTACTCAATTAAAATTTAGTATTAAACCACAACACTCCTGCAAGTTTTGGAATTAAAAAATGGATACAGAGGAAAATTATTAATACACCAGCATTTAAGTTTATAACATTTTATTATGAACTTTTGTAAATTAAATCTAGAACCCACTTTTGGAAAAACCATTTGTTTTTTCCACTCTTGTAACGTTCCTCGAATTTAACACGGGTTTGAAACGAGCCTTCTTCCTCTTCATGGGGTCCTTCAAATCCTTGACGGTTGGTTTGTGCTCTAATGATAGGTCAACGGTGTACCTAGTTGGCATCAAGTGGTTGTAGTTTAAAACCTGCAGAAATTCATTAATCATTTCAACAGTGCTCAATTGGAACTTAATCCGAGTCATGCCAGTAAATGACAATGTAAAAGTTTCTATTTGATTTTAATGATAAAAATCAGCAGGCTTTACTGAGAACAGGAATCCATAAACTACTCCTAGTCCACTTTAAAGAATCAAGTTTATCCAAAGCTAGCAAATTTTATAGTGTCACAAATTGAGGTTATCAAAGTTATTGAACCATTTAGATGCTTAGAAATAATTAGTTAAAAAGAAGTCCCATTCAAAACATGAAGCAGAATCTATTACTTCAATATCCATACCCGCCTTATCCATTTATTTATGTAAATAAATTATGTAATGCAAAGAAATCTTCCAAGCCGCTTCACAATTACAAAAGTATAAAACAATGCACAAAATAACAGACAATTGCCCAGCAATTCTTTTAAGCACTATAAAACTTTGTAAATCATCATCCATAATGCAAATATACAAAATATCTTCAAATTAAATTTTATCCGCAAACTTGATAAAATGATCTATATTTATGTTTAAAAGAGTATAATAACATACAAACAAATTTGATTATATTCTGTCTACGGGTTGTTATACTTTGAGTCTAGTGCGTTTTCTTGGGAAAACAATGATCTCATTAAATAATTTTATCATGTAAGTACTCCTAATTAATTAACAGCATAAACAATTTATGAAATATAGTAATATCGCATAAGATAGGTATATAAAAATTAATAACCTTATTGTAAACTATGTACAAAGAAATTCAGCACAGCGTGAAGCTTAAGCAAACGGGTTGTTATAGTTTACATCAAGTCAAATGAAATGTATATTATTTACTAACCTTAATGAAAGGCTTTATCTTTGATCGCTTGTGGAGCTTAGCCTTGCCCATTCTCTTGTGTACTTTCCTTGGGTACCTATCAATACCAGCTACAAGTGCGTGGCCGTATTGTTTTTCTGAGGTACCATCATCAAAGTTTTGGATGACGATGGCTTTGCGACCAGCATAGCGCCCGCTCAATACGAGCACCACTTTACCAGATTTCATAATCTTCCCCATTTTGATCTAAAAACAAAGCACGAAAACTTTAGTTTACTTTGATACCGTAGAACTGAAAAGTTAACATCTATAACCTAAAAATATGACATGCCAAGATGAAATTGTTATCGAACTCTCTTACCTAAAGAGTTTTGATTTATATAATATTTATATGTAACTACACGAGAATTTAGAATAGGCTACGGAAACCTATAAGATGGTATATAAAATATATAACTACCAGTTGCCAAAATAATAATTTGCACAGATAATAAACAAAATAGGTTATCAAAAAGAATAAGGACAATATAAATATTATCACAATTTTGAACACATTTCGTCACTCACGTCGATATTATTTATTTTAGATTATAGATGTTTTAGAATTCAGTTTATTGAGGAAAAAATATGTACTCACATCTAAAACGTCCTACCGGAAAAGAAACTATTTATTTCCCCTCACAGCGACATAGAAAATTGTTGTCGAGAGTAGAAACTACGCGAAGGACTGAAGTTAGGCATAGAACATCAAAACCAGTTTTTTTCTTCTGCATGTTGGCAATGCGTTTGATAATTGAGCATGGATCAGAGTGCTGTCATTTTGACAGTTGTTTGACTTAAGCTTAAAAGATGAAAGTTAGACAAGTTAGTTCTAATTCATAATTCTTAGAATTGTAATTTTTATCGCCAGAAAGATTACAGTATAAGCTTTAATATTTTAGTTATGTGTAAATAAAATTATATCAATATAGAAAATAGTTTATATTAAATAAATCAAAATGGAAACAGGCATTGAATCAATGAACAATGGTGCGATAACTATCAAATTTCATGCTTTCAATTCATAAGTTGATGATTAAACATCTATTGTTTATATTTAGATTTACAAACGAAAATTACATCACTTGCTGCAAGAATCACATTACTAGAAACTGAAAAAATACAAGAGAGAAATTCATTCGATGGGCAAAGAGCAAAAATGAAAGATTTATTTCTACAGAAGGAAGGTAAACAAAACAGAGAGTTTTAAACTAATAATTTAGTATATTTTAATTTTAATCCATTTTAATTTAGTTGCGAATGTTATAGTTGATTTCAATGGCTTTCAAGTTGCCATACCTAATTACAAATACATACAATGAATTGAAAATACAAGTGCAATCGAATATGATCTAATTATATAATTGTAATAAATCTAATTCTTCATAAAATATTGCAATAATTGTTAAAAAGTCAATTTGATTTTTGCAGTATTGATATTCTGATCCTGAGCAAAATCTTATATTTAATTTTTGATAAACACAATTCATTCATTCATTTGTATATCTTTATGGTTTACATTTTTATAGATAAATACGAGTTCAAATTCTGATATCATTAAAACATAAGCTAATATAAAGCACTAAGATTATAGAAACATTATTTTTATATTAAATGAGTAGTTCATTTCTTGTAGATCATTATATTTGCTTTTATTGACCTGAAATACTACAAAAAACAATGTATAAGAATGAGTTAGTTATATTATTCAACTTTTAATATTTCAGGTGAAGTAATGCAATTAAAAAAAGAAAATTCTACATTATTATCTGAATTACAAAAATTAACACAAGAATTGGACGAGGCTAAAAGCCAATTAGTTGCAACAGGTTATCAAATGGAAACGGATTTAAAAGAACAACAATCTAAAGCACAGGAAGAAATCGCTACATTACAGCAGCTTGTTCATGGTATATATTTCATTTTTTTCATAAATGATAAGTAATAAATTGTCTATTTTTTATCATTTTTAAGTTAGAAATTTTCATATAACATTTTTATAGTAAAAAAATCTATACTATATTACAATACATATACTTTAAATTTGTTAGTCAATAAAAGATTTTGTTAACAATTCTCTACACAATTTATATTTTGTAGAGACAATTGAAGAAAATAGCAGTTCTAGGTCATTATTTGATAGTGAAATTTCTCGATTAATGGCTGTAGTTGAGAAACTACAAACTGAGAACAAACAACTTCGAGCAAAAGAACAAGTAGGTTTAAAATAATTCATATTATGTTATTCAATGTGTATGCATATGATCTATACATATGTTGTTTATATCTGATTACATTCAACTGCAACAATTATTAATTATTATGTAACAGGAAAGTGCAAGTTTAGCTCCAGCAGTCGTTTTGTCAGCAATGACTAAAACGTTAGCAAGAAAACTTGGTGCAGATTCTATAGATAGCAATGATGAAACAAAAAAAGGCATAAGACATGTATGTTATCACACATTATGATCTATTGAAATATCTGTTTCATCAAGGTTAACACAAAATTATTAATATAGGCTCAAGAAGATGCTGAAGTACTGCGTTCATTAGTGGTTCCCTTAGAAGAAGAAATTAAAGCTTTAAAACAAAAGTTGAGATCAGCAGATGAACAATTACAAATGTACAACCAAGAAAAAAGTAGTAATAGATTGTCTTCAAATGGAGAAAATTTAGAAGACACTTCTTTATTAAATTCCAGTGTACATTCATCACATAATGGTAATATATACACATTTATATATACATCAGTGGCGGATCCAGGGGGGGGGGGTCACGGGGGTCATGACCCCCCCCTGAGCCTGTTGTAGGACTTAGATAAAACACTAATTTAACAACAAAATTACTTCATAATGATTTCATTCACCAAACAAATTATATAACTTAAATATTTAACTGATTGTAGACGAATGGCGGAGTCAAAATCCCTAAAATTTAAGGATTTCCAATCGTATTGCGAATAGCTGTTTTATTACAGTTTAGGGAAAAAAAATTCATTCAAAATTCAAAAAATTAAACTGACTGTGAGTGGCCCTTACGCATGAACTTTCTGTAATATTACATCTGTAAATGTTAATCAATATATAAACTAGCTGTAAGTGTAATTCTGTCTTAAGGCAATTAGGGCATCGTGCCTTAAGGCAAATTGCTGGAACTTCCCGTACCAAAAATTATTATTTTTTTAAAACAATTAACATTTTTGAAAAAAATTACTTCGAAAAAAAATAGATTTTTGAGAAACTATAAAATTGACAAAATATTACTTTTTTTTAAAAAAAAAATTTTTTTTGAAAACAAAAAATTTTTTTTTAAAAAAATGTTTTCTTTATTTTGACATATTTTGGAAATTTTGAACTTTTTTTCAAAGCAATCGCACTGCTTGAACTGCATAGAGACGAAATGTCAAAGCACGCAAGTGCCGCGCCGCCGTCTAACGCATAAGCATTGGTACGGAGCCCATAGGAATGTAAAAAAAATGTATACTTATTGTTAAATCTCTATAAATATCTGATAATTTGATGTGCATATGTCTAATGATCATTTTTAACCGCCCAATGGCATTTTTTTTTTACTTTTTTCATTAGATCTCCGAAACCGCTAGACCTGCCTTTATGAAAATTTGATCAATTCTATATCTTGTCAATACAAGTAAAATGTTTTTTGAATTATTCAAATCGGACGCTCCGTTCTCTTAAAAACGGAGGTACCGTTTTTGGCACTTTTTGCCCCGTATCTTCGGAACGGCTAGACCTGCCTTCGCCAAAAACTAATCAGCACGTCTCCTTATCAATACGAATCGAATGTTTTTTGAATTATTCAAATCGGTTGATCCGTGTTCCCGAAATCGTCGACGAAAATTTGTATCCGACATACATACACACACGCACATACATACATACATACACACACACACACACACAACACATACCCATTTTTTCTAAGGTATGCCAAATGTTCAGAAACCTCTGAAACGTGAAGATTATGAAAATTTTCATTTTCGATTTTTTTGCGATTACTATAACTTGCCCTACGGGAAGTTAACTAGTGGTGTTTGGCATCGTGCCTTAAGGCAAATTGCTGGAACTTCCCGTACCGTAACGAAATGTTCGAGGAATATTAAATGTTTTCAAATAGATTATTATAAATATTTTAACAGGGTCTAATATTTATAAGAACTATATAAACTGAATTGCAAAGTTAAAACTATTTATTTATAGTATATAAGTTTTAAACTTAGTCAGAATTAAATTAAAATCTAATTATTTTCTATATACAAAAAAAAAATTTTAAAAATTTTTTTTTGAAAAGCAATTATTTTGTCAAAACAAGCAGAAAGTTTTTTGAATCATTCAAACCGGTCGTCGCTCAGTTCTCTCTAAAACTGCCATTTTTTGCATATTTGGCTCAGTATCTTCGAAATTGCCGGACCTGCCTTTGCCAAAAACTAATCATCACCTCATCTCACAATCATTACAAACTCAATGTTATTTAGATTTGTGTTTTCTGCACTCTTTACTCCGTATCTCCGTAACTGCTGGACCTGTCTTTGCCAAAAACTAATCAGCACATCTCCCTAACAATAAGAATCGAATGTTTTTTGAACCATTCAAATCGGTTAAACCATACCCCTGAAAACGTGGACGAAAGAATGCGGACATACAAAACACACTCACACATCCATTTTTTCTGAAGTATGGCAAAGTGTTCAGAAACCTTCAAAACGTTAGATTTTCGGCCTATTACTATAACTACCCTATGGGAAGTTAATAATGACTGATTTAGAGAAGTATTCCTAATCGCTGTAAACCATTTTGAAGTGAGAAACTATTGCAAATTGTTTTTATTTTCAAATATAGTAATTATTTTTTTTTGAAAATGGTTTGAATATTACACATTGATGGAAAACAAACACATACAAAATACGAAGCCGAATACAAACACACGGTGAATTTTTTAAAAACGCGGCCAAATAATCCAAACTTTAATTATCATAAGTAAACCACTTGTCGCAGGCCTTAATATAGTTTAGTACGTTCATTTAGAGCAGAAACTCTATCGCCATGCAAAGTTTTGCTTAAATCGCCAAAAAATAGCAATCTATTATGAAAAAGAAACGACTTGACCGATCTTCGCCAGAAACCATTTATTTCCAAATGATATCAATCGAATAGTTTAAGCAAAAACGATTAAAAATTTTTGACAAAAACATGACGATAATTTCTGCACTTTTCTGTCAATAGTAAAGAAAACGGATCGACCAATCGTCTCAAAAAACTAATCAACGCAAGCGCTTATTCAGTTCCATTTTATAGTTTTTTAAATTTTAACATCGGTTCAGACGAGAAAACGTCGAGGAAAGATCAAATTTTGACACACGTCAAAGACGCAGATTATTTTTTATAAAAATACACATATATAGGGTTAGGCGGGTCTAATTTAACTTTGAGCAATTATATTGTGAAAACTAAACGAAAAACATAACAACCAATCAGACATATCAAACAAAAAATCGTCTGACTATGTTTTAGTACAACTTACAGCTAATTCATCACATAAATGTGTTTTTTTGCTGTTTTTAAAAAAATGTCACTTGGTCTTTTCTTACCCCATAGGCGGGGTAAAATCGGCGAGAGGACAAACAATCCAATTTACTATTTTTAATTTTAAAGGGATTTAACGAAATAATAGCTACATTATTCAACCAATGAAAAATATGAATTTTATAGATACATTTTTTACAGAGATAACTCTGTATATAACCTTGATTCGATATTTTGTCCAAAATATTCTCCAGCAGAGTTGGAATAAAGATTTATTTAATTTATCTCTTGTAAAAATGCTTTTTTAACGTCGTAAGAATCAGGGTGATGGCTGGTTGTACATTTTTCCCTCTACTTTCAAATATTGTTAAGAAATTCTTAACTTTACTTGTTTTTGAGATATCGGTAGTGGACCTTTTTACCCGCGAATCTTTACGCCCCGCTCTTTCTAATATATATATATATATATATATATATATATATATATATATTAAATTTGTTACATACTCATTGAGGACTTTAAAAACTTTTCAATTATGACCCCCCCCTGACGCCGAAGCTGGATCCGCCACTGATATACATATTTATATATGTACCCTTTATATATATAGCAGTATAATTTGTTTCGTAACTACACTTGTATGTTGAATTGCTTGTATCCCAAAGCAATTTTTTCCACATAAATACATTGAAATGCCAATAATTTATTCCAGCTTTGTGATTTTTGCTAAGTTTTATATAACTATGAAAATAAATTCACTATTTAATAACTTATTTATTTATTTTTTTTGTTCATTCATGATATTATTTACTCACTCAAAGTTTGCAGCTCGATTTTTGCTCGTAAGTCGCAGCAACGAATCGCTCTTTTAGCGGCTCGTATCTCGAAACACTCATATGTCGGGTCACTTGTAATTTGGGGTACCACTATATATATATATATATATATATATATATATATATAATGATAAAATTATTAATTAAAAAAAATATTAAAATTATTAGATTTTGTAACATTTACCTCTCTTTTCAGTCTGTGATATGTGCAGCAACTATGAAGCTCAGTTAGTACGTGCTCAACAGTCAGTATTATCTTTAGAAAATAAATTATCATTTTCTGAACAAAATACTGAGCGGGCAAATGAAAATATAAAACGAGAAATTCAGTTGCGGAGCGAAATGCAAGCGAAATGGGAACATCAAAAAGATCAGTATAAATCACAGGTATTGAACATATTTTTGCCTATTACTTTAGTGTTGTAATATTTGTTTTACCATGTAGTTTTACTAATTTTAGGTAGAAGAACTTTGTAGCAGAACTGTTGCGACTGAAAAGGAATTAGCTGAATTAAAATTACGATTTCCCCAATTTTGTAGCCAGATTATGGAGCAATTATCTAGTCTAACCCAGCAGCGAGAACAAGTGCATTTATATATGATGAAGTGAGTGTAATATAATATTTTTTAATATTTATGTACATGTAATTTGACAATGATATACATTTGAAAAACATCAAATCATAGATTAAAGGCTGAAAATGAAAACCTTCTTGGAAAGCACCATGCACATTCTCAGAAACTGCAGAGTGAAATGATTAATTTACCAGATAAAGTGGAGGTACAACTTCTTTTAAATAAATATTAAAATTAATTAATAAACGTGTTTTTCTAATAACTGTTTTACCTAAGGAGTTGCAAGAACTCCTACTTAGGTCACATGAAGAATTAATTGCTGCAAAAGTAGCAGCAGAAACATATGCTGAGAAAGAACAAACTGTTAAATGTGAAATTCTGTTACTGAGGGACCAAATGGTTATGGAACAACAGCAGCGTGAAACATTAGAAAATAGTTTAGTTCAAGAAAATAATAATTTGAAGTATGTCGAAATATAATTTAGCTATAAATTACATTGTGTTATGGTTGATTTAAATTTTTATATCAGGAGGCAAATTCATCAACATGAACAAGAACGAAGAAGTTTTAGTGCTAATCGGGAGAAAATGGAACATTTCGGTAGACAATATGAAGAGTGTTCAAAACAAAATGTAAGATTTTACTTTTTAATAATATTATATAAATCTGAGCTTTTGAAACCTGTAATTCTGAGCCATAACTCATGTTTTAAGATATTCTTAAAAAACATGCCCACAATGATTTTTTCTTTCTTTTCTATCTTTTATATTGTGTATATATATATATATATATATATATATTCATTTATTTATTTATTTATTTGTATTTATTTATTTTAGAAACAATTGGAACTTATAGTCCACGATCTTAGGCAGAGAGTTGCCTCTTTACAGCAAGAGTTAGACAATAGTGAAGCAGTACAAAAAGACTTCGTAAGGTTGTCCCAATCTTTACAAGTAGAGTTAGAAAAAATTCGTGCTGAGGACACGCAAGTTAGGTGGCAACATGATGAAGATGTTGAAGAATGTCCAACTTGTAGGCATGGATTTAATGTGACTCGAAGGAAGGTAAGCATCTATTTGAATTCTCTGTTCACCTATAAAATTATGGTATGATTAATGTTTTGATTGACTTTCTAGCAACACTGTCGACATTGTGGACAAATATTTTGCTCAGTTTGCTTGACGCATGTTGTTAAAAGTGGTCCAAACAGTCGACCGTCTCGTGTGTGTGATGTTTGCCATACACTTTTGGTGAAAGAAACTGCTCCTTACTTTAGTACTGAACCTCCACATTCTCCAGATTAAGTATCACATAGTTTATATTGTTATTTGAGATTTAATAAATACATATACATAGTATAATATACGTTTTTTTATAAATTTTTGTTTTCCAAGAATAGCACTATGTATATATATAAATACATATACATAGTAAAATATACGTTTTTTTATAAATTTTTGTTTTCCAAGAACAGCATTCGAAATTGTATTTATATTGAACTTTTGGTGAACCATTTAGGTATGGGGAAAATCTATTTTATCCATGGGGGTAATATTAACTTAGACAAAAATATTTTGGGGTGATGTTTGAAAAAGTTTCCCGAACGCTGCTCTGCAGGAACCTATAAATCTCAACAACTAAAAGATATAAAAATTGAACTAAAAATATTATATCTACAAAACTTGTTAGACCATTAATACGCACGAAGAACAAATTTTGCGGTCATTCCTAATGCACCATCTCAAAAAATACCAAATATTGTCTATATATTTAAAGATTTTTAGAAGTCTTAATAATGTTGTACATCAAATCTAGAAAATCAATAATATCCGTTTTTTATGAATAATTATCCACATATAAGATTTTATTCATAAAGAATTTGAAGATTTTTCGGTTTGTTACAAACATTCAAGCTTGTGGGTGAAGGAGTTTGTTCTCGCGAAAATATTCGATTTGTTAATTTTATATGTTTTCTCGATGTTTCAAGTTATTCGAATGAGACCAAATTTGAAAAAAGTATGTGTGTGTCTAGCTGGTTTTCGATCTTTTCGAGTCCACGTTTTCTCAAAGACTACTGGTTCTTACTATAGAGTATAGATTCTAATCTCTCTTACTAATTCTCTTTCTTTTTATTCTAATTCTTTCTATTCTATTTTTTTTTTCTTGATTTTGATTTTCAATACCATAACTTTAAACTTATAGATTGTATTCTGATTGTTAAAATTAGCCAAAAATAATAATAATAATAAAAAAACTAATTCTCTCAATTTTGTACGACGATCAGCCGCGCCTTTTCTTTGCGTTTTTAAGATTAGCAAAAAGGTGTACAACTTTTCATTCACGATGTAGCCCATAATCTTAAATCAAGTACAAAAATTCAAAAACTGTTCGATAGATATTGGTTGGGAATCGCGTCGATTAGTTTTTAATAAAGATCGTTGGCAAAGTTGAAAAAGATTATATTGACGATTTTTATGAAAGTTTGTATACTTAACGATAGATTTCTTATTTTTAATACTAAAATTTTATAGGCCTACGATAAGCGGTTGATTTATAAGAAATCGTCAAAGTTTACAATTTCGCCGTATGCTTAAGTGATTCTAATCAGAATCTATGCCGAAAGAAATATTGATATAGGTTTTGTCATGGTTTTGTGTTTCGTAGGTAACTACTGATTACAGGTAATACGGTGACCATATTTTTTGCATGAAATCCGGGACGGATTTGTATATATAATATACAAATAATATTTATATTATATATTATATAATATATAAATTTATAATTTATACTATATTTATATTATATAATATATAAATAATTGTATATATAATATATAATATGTGTGAGAGAGGAGGGGTTGGGAGGGGTGTTGGTGAACTGAAAACTTAAATGCACATTTTTCGGTTCAAATTTTCAAGTTAAAATATATTTTAAAAAAATATTGTCAATCAAAAGCATTTTTAAAAATCCGGGACAATCCGGGACAAAACACCTAAAACCGGGACAAATATTGCTTTTAGAAAAAGATGGGACGCAAGGCGGAAAATCGGAATTGTCCCGGCCAATCCGAGACGTATGGTCATATTACAGGTAACCACACTTCAACAAAAAACATTTTTATAACTAAGTGTATATGTTAAACAAATTAATTTAATTTACACAATTACATATATCATTAATATGTTTGAAAAACATTAATTGGAAATTGTATTGGTCATTTTTTAGTGAAAGCGAAAATTTTATTTTCGAAGTAAACAGTTGAACGTTTTACCTAAATAACTGAATCTTATTTCCCATCGATTAATTTGATTATAATGTATACGTATCGGAAAGTTTATGCAACTTGCCTTAAGGCAAAATGCTAGTTACATCTAATTTTATACTTAAATGGTTGTCAGAAGGCACAACAGTATAGTTCTCTATTCTAGACGTTATTATATTTAACCATATTTTATTTGGTTACATATTTTCGATTTATAGTTTCAGATACAATTGGATTTCATAGATAGCACCCATCGCATCATTCTAATTCGGAGTAATGTGGTTGCTAAGTAAATAAGTTTATTTTTAATCCATACGAGCCAAATTTTACCTATTACGTTATATTATATTTTATTTGATCTATGTTTTTTAGTTTTTGAGCTTTGTATAATTTTTATTAAATTTCTTCATAATTAACTTAAAAAATTAGCTATTGTTCGTTTTCATAATTTTTGTTAATTTTGTGAAATTGAAAATAAAAATTTGAATTGATTAATGTATTTATGAAATTATGTATTTGGCATAATTTCGTCTTTCATAAAGTCAATACTTGTTTATCTATGCACAAAGTATTGATTCATATAAGCTGGCTCATCTTGTAACATAATATATATCACTTTCAGATATTCTAAGGGTAGTTGTAATTTTATTATCAAGTATTTCTGAAGATCAATTTAAATATATACTTTTTGAAAACACGGGACAATCCGGGACAAGAGATTTAAATTCGGGTCAAATATTGCTTTTAGAGAAACCCGGAACATACGGTGGAGATGCGGTACTGTCCTGGCCAAACCGGTGCGTATGGTCACCTTAATTAAATAATCTTTTTATAAAGATGATAATATTTAGTTTTACAACATAAAATTATAAAATACTTTAATAAGTGCCCATAAAAGAATACACAAAGAAAAATTTGATGTTTCAAACAAGCAAATCAAATTTAAAATCAAGTCTGTTATAAAGATTATTTGAACATTAATATTAATTAACTATTTTAATGTTAATTTATTAACATTATTACAACACTTATTCGTTAAAAATGAAGTTGTAACCATAATCAATCTTTATTTTCAATATATGCTGGTGAATTTATTGTTCTTTTGTTTCTTTCATTGTTCTTAAGCTTTTCATTAGAAATTAGGTCTCAAAATATCATGTTACCAACTTGTGCATCAAATTTAAAATCAAGAAACATTCCTCAACATAAACCAGTGTAATTGTAAATATTACAATACTATTATCTGCGCAGTCTCCTAAAGCCTGTTCTCTTGGAGGGAGATCCGCGTAATGCATATTGTTCCCGCATGGTGTCTGTTTTACTTCCCGAGCGGTTATATATTTGCCGCCGCTCTCGAGTGCGGTACCGGTTTTTGCTGCGCGCTTTGTTTATTTACGTTACGGTGGTAATCGGAGGAACGTGTCTCCACCGAAGAGCAATATTATTTCGGAAAGTGGTAGTATATTGAAATTTTAAAATATGGTATATGTGTTGTAATAGTTAATTTATATCTTGGTGTATTGACCGTTAAAGATTTTCGACATTTAAAACAAAACTTAAGAAACATGTAAAATGTGAAGTGTAATTGGTTAAAAAAGTGACTGTAGTGCGCGATTAGTTACCTTCGTGTTTATGTGTTCGCAGTAAATAGAAAAAATGTATACATTTTCATGAAGGTAAGTGCTTATCTTGTATACTAATTTAAGATTTTGTAAATACTGTTATTTTATTATATTGTAGTAATTAGATGTTTTTAATGAAATATATTGGGAATTAGGCAAGTGTTAATTTCTACAAAGTGGTAACAAAATATTGCAATTTAAGTTTATGTTCTAGACTAAACTTCTAGTCTATAGGCATGATTTTTTTGTGTTTTTTCAAGGGCCTTAAAAAGGCAAAAAATTTTTTTGCTGTACCTTTTTTACAATTTCTTCTAATGCTTCGAGAATCTCTAAACAAATAATTAAAAAATAAAAATAAGATGAGAGGTGCCTCAAAATTTTGGCACCAGACTCTATTATACCCATGATTCCAGACCTCCAAATAGTATAGAGAAAAAAAAAATTATATTTTACAAAGACAGTAATTGTGCAAATTGCAGACAAGTAAAAAATGATTTGTCACAAAATTGCGCCTGTCTGAAAAAATAATTTTTTATACTATTTTGATAATCTCGATTTTTTTGAAAATAGTTCAAACAAACAATAAAAAAGACTAAGTGAATATTTTTGATAAATCGGTTCAGTAGAAATTGAGAAATCGTGGGTATCGTATCGAAAAAGGCAGTTTCGAGAAAAACGCGTAGGAAAATTTCTTCGGAGAAAGAAAACAGAGGAGGTTATTGTAGTCATACACTTATCCCCAAAAATATTGTGATTTTTCAAATATCCTTTTGCTTACAATCTTGAATAGTAGAATTTTCAAAATATATAAAAATAAAACATTTTTTTTTTTTTTTAATTTTAGACCAGAATACCTCCTTAAATTAGTAAGTAGTGATTAAAAACTATAGTTTTTCTAATTATTGGTACAAACTGTAATGATACATTAACTGTATTAACATAAAATTTAATGACACTTTTTATAAAGTCTCAATACACACGTGGAAAATCATTGGCATGTGCTTCAATGATGCGTTTTTTCCTATTTTATTATATATATTTTCTTATATATATATATATATATATATATAACCAGGGCCGGTTCTACCTTGAATACAATGCATGCAAAAAATGCGGGTGCACCCCTTAGGGGGCGCCGAAACGAGATTTGGATATGTAATTTATAATATAGTTTTTCAATATCATTCATGAAATATATACTTTACTTGCATCTTTTACTAAACTATGGACAATATTTTTAATATGCGTTAAAAATTTTACTTGAAAACTCAACAAATTAATACATTCAATTTGTCTCTTACGATATAAATATTTAAAAATTTATATTTTTATATTTAATATCAACTATTGATATCTATGTAATATATATTTTTAGATTAGTGAATGATGACACACATTAAGTGTCGAAACGTTTAAT